GGAAGCTGAGAATGTTTCTGAGTGTTCTATGGTCTGCTGGGGTAATAATAGTGTAAAGCGCATAGAGCTTGCTTCTGAGTGGGGACATGCGCAATGCAATGCTATTTATTATTATTAATAGTAGTAGTAGTGGTAGTAGTTGTAGTAGCAGCAGCAGCAGCAGTTGCAGTAGTTGCAGTAGCAGTAGCAGTAGTAGCAGTAGCAGTAGCAGTAGTAGTAGTTAGTTAGTTAGTTAGTTAGTTAGTTAGTTAGTTAGTAGTAGTAGAAGTGTTGTTGTAGTTTGTTAGCTTTTGTTTGTTTTGGAATCACTCACACGTACACTCACACACACAGACTGACTTTTGTTTGTTTTGGAATCACTCACACGTACACTCACACACACAGACTTTTGTTTGTTTTGGAATCAGCGGTTCACAAATCACAAATTACTTGTTAACTATAAGAAGTACAGCAAAACCACGTTTCCCCCCACCCCCATTGCACTTTATACTGCCGGCCCCGCTTACTGCCAGGTTTTGCCAACATACTACATACTAAAAGGAACGTCTCTCTCTCTCTCTCTCTCTCTCTCTCTCTCTCTCTCTCTCTCTCTCTCTCTCTCTCAAAACCTCCCAAACCGAACATTGCCATCTAGAAAGTACTGCCCGTTCAGAACCAAGCTACAAGAATCGTGTCTAAACAGAGGAAAAGCGACCATACCATCCCTATTTTAAGAAAACTCCATAGGCTCATAACAACATAATATAAGTATTTACACCATTGCTGTCTTTAGCCATAAATGTATTAGCGATAAAGCCCTCTCGTCTTTAGGCAACCTCGCTCAGATGTATGCTCCACCAAGATTTCTAAGATCAGATCTTCAGTACATATTATCTTCATTGATTTGTTTCTTGCTTTGAGTAGAAGGTACTGTAAAGCTTCTAGAGTTGTACTTACGGAAGTGAGCGTTATAGGCACTATGTGCATCATAACAATTTAAATTGTTTTTAAAAAAATTTATGATAAAAAATATTTTAAAAATAAAATCAATAAAAATAAAACGGTATTTGTATAGCGCATTCCCCTGCTCGGCAGCATGCTCTATGCGCTTTACACTTATTATTATTACCAAAGCAGACTATAGGACACTCAGAAACATTCTCAGCTTCCGGGGAAGCATACAGCGTAAGCAGCTGATAAAGCACTCAAACACAAACAAACTGACAAGGTAATAATAATAATAATAATAATAATATAAAAATAATAATAAAATTAATAATAGTAATAATAATAATGATAATGATAATAATAAGGTTGTTATATTATATTATTTGGAAAGAGGCTTCAGTAGTCATACAGCAAAATTAAAGTTAGTATAGACTCATTGTCATCACACAAAACCTTACATGTAAATCACTGGCTGCATCGGGTCTTCTTTGAGGAAAACATACGTCAGGGTAGGAACATTAACATCTATACCAATATCATGATACGTTACGTTGACGGCTGCGTATGTTAACCAATGTTGACTGATGATAAACATTTAATTATAAATAATATATTTATACCCTCTGCCGAAATGGTTTGGCTTTTTTCCTCTGGAGCTTTAGTTTAAGTATAGTTTTAGTGCAAGTTTTAGGGTACTTGCAACACAAATAAGTCAGAGGGAAGAAGAGCTCATTTCATTTTTTAAATCTTTTTAGGGATTAATTGATTTTGACACAAGCATGGGACAACCATGTACAATACCAAAGTAGGTCGCGCTTGGAAGTAGTTCTTCGATTTTTAACAGCTCACACATCAACATTTCAGCCAAGCTCTAGGTAAAATCAGGAGAAATCTTTCCATGTTAAGAATTGTTAGCCTTGAATACAAAT